TATTTTAATGTAGTAGATGGCGGATACCATTGACTTTTTTTTTTTTTTAATACTTTAAGTTCTAGGGAACACGTGCACAACATGCAGGTTTGTTACATATGTATACATGTGCCATGTTGGTGTGCTGCACCCATTAACTCGTCATTTACATTAGGTATATCTCCTAATGCTATCCCTCCCCCCTCCCCACAGACTTTTTTTTTTGAGACGGAGTCTCGCTCTGTCACCCAGGCTGGAGTACAGTGGTGCGATCTTGGCTCACTGCAACTTCCACCTCCTGGGTTCAAGGGATTCTCCTGCCTTAGCCTCCCAAGTAGCTGGGACTACAGGTGTGCTCTACCACGCCCAACTAATTTTTGTATTTTTAGTAGAGATGGGATTTCACCATGTTGGCCAAGCTGATCTCAATCTCCTGACCTCATGATCCACCTGCCTTGGCCTCCCAATGTGCTGAGATTACAGGCGTGAGCCACCACACCCGGCTAATTTTTTTTTTTTTTTTAAGTGTTAAATACTGAAATGCCTATGGGTAGAATTAGATAGCAGTGGGTGGAAGGGATGTTTTGGAAGGGAAGATAATAAATAGGCCTAAGCCTGAAGGGAAATCATGAGGTTGCTGGCTGCTCCAGTAGGGGAGGGAGTTGGACATGGTCCTCCACCTTCAGGGAAACAAGGATGGACAGAGGGGTAGAGCTAGAATCTGTTGAATCAGTTTTGGCTTTCCTGGGAACACAGGCTAAACAGTCTCTCAGGTTACTCTCTAGAATGAAAGCACACAGGTTAATATGACACAATGTGATTTGTGCTATAATATTCAAGCAGAACAAGTAAGGCATAGACCCAGGTGTTCATTTGCTTACCAGATAACTCTATTTACATGGCCTGTAGGTTTTACAAACAACATGTCCCCCAGCCAGGCACAGTGGCTCAGACCTGCAAGTCCAACAGTTTGGGAGGCTGAGGCAGGAGGATTGCTTGATGCCAGAGGTTCGGGATTAGCCTGGGCAACATAGTGAGATCTCCTCTCTAAAATATGTATATACTTTTTAATTAACCAGGCATAGTGATGCTTGCCTGTAGTCCTAGCTACTCAGGAGGCTAAAGCGAGAGGATCACCTAAGCCTAGGAATTTAAGGTTACAGTAAGTTATGATCATGCCACTGCATTCCAGCCTGGGTGACAGAGCAAGACCCTCTTAAAAAAAAAAAAAAAAAAAAAAAGGAGGGTGTGGTGTGTGTGTTGTATACATGTGTATGTATACATACGTATCTCCCAAATTGAATTTATAATATCTTCTCCCTTCCTATAAGATCTTCTCTTCCACTGCCTCCTTAATTAATAAATGGTACCACTTAGCCCAGCTAATTTTGCCGGCTAAAAACAAAGGAGTCATCTCTGAGTGCTTTTTTCTTTTTTTTTTTTTTTTTGAGACGGAGTCTTGCTCTGTCACCCAGGCTGTAGTGCGATAGTGCAGTCTCAGCTCACTGCAACCTCTGCCTCCTGGGTTCAAGCAATTCTCCTGTCCCAGCCTCCCGAGTAGCTGGGATTACAGGCACCCGCCACTATGCCCAGTTAATTTTTTGTGTTTTTAGTAAAGACTGGGTTTCACCATGTTCACCAGGCTAGTCTTGAACTCCTGACCTCTAGTGATCCGCCTGCCTCGGCCTCACAAAGCACTGGGATTACAGGCGTGAGCCATCACGCCCAGCTGGGTGTTCTTTATTCCCCACCTCTAGCCCCATCCTGTGAATTCTTCTTTCCCCTTGTCACCACCACCCAGACTGCTCTGACAGCCTCCCCAACAGATTTCCCACTATGCTTATTCCCTCCCATTCTTGCTCTACTCTGAAGCCAAAGTGAAACTTTAAAAGTGTGAAAGTGATCATACCAATAAAGTCCCCAATCCTTAACCTTACTACAGGGCCCTCACTCCAGCCTTCCCTTGCACCATTCTCCCCTCAGTCTGTAAGCTTAGCCATACCAGACTTTTCCCTGTCTCTCAGTGTGTGTGCTTTCTCACAGCTGGGCCTGCGCACAGCACTGGAATTGCACCATGTCTCTGACGAACTTCTCATACTCCTCATTACTTCAGTTATTAGCTTAAATGTCATCTTTTTAGAGAGGCCGCCACCAGAGATGAAGCCAGCCTCTCCTCAACCACCAAGTAGGCCTTACCTTTTCTTTTGGAACCTTCAGTACACCTGGAATTACCTATTTAAAAATCTCTCTTCCTATAGCCTGTAAGCTCCAGAGGAGACCACGGTTGTCTTGTTCATTGTTATAATCCCCTGTGCTAGCACAGTATCTGACTTGTGGTAGCTGTGTAGTAAATAAATACTTATTGGATGAATGAATAGAGATGGGAATGATTATTTCTGCCGGAGTTGTGAGACAGTACAAATATTTAGGGAGTGATAGTTAAGCTAGAAAAATAATAAAATAGGATGGAGGCTACAGAGATCTTACAGGGGAGATCAGACTGCGTTGGAATTTGTAGATAAGCATTCACGATCTCTGCTTAACTTTCTAGACAAAGTGGTGAAGAAAGGGAAGAAGGACAAGAAGATCAAAAAAACGGTGAGAAAATGAGGGTTGAGGATAAGAAATGACTATGGGTGTTTCCAGGCTAAATAAATGGCCATGTGAAGGAGGTGGGAGGTCCAAGGGAGGAGAGAAGATCTTATCAAGAGAGGAGATAGGCTGGGCATGGTGGCTTACGCCTGTAATCCCAGCACTTAGGGAGGCAGAGGTGGGAGGATAGCTTAAGCCCAGGAGTTTGAGACCTGCACACTCCGTTCTCCACTAAAAGAAAAAAAGAGAGAGACAGGAGGTAAGGTGAGGGTGGAGTGGAGGGCCAGTGGGCCCGTGTGTGGCAGAGCACAGCTTGATTGGATTGCTCTTGGAACCATGTTTACCTGTATCTTAACTCCCTTGATAGTTCTTTGAAGAGCTGGCAGTAGAAGAAAAACAGGCTGGGGAAGAAGAGAAAGTACTCAAGGAGAAGGAGGAGCAGCAGCAGCAGCAACAACAGCAACAGCAGGTACAAGTGCCACAGGGCCCACCAATCCCTTTGCAGCCCATGTTGCTCCACTCAGCTGATGGGGAACCTTCTGTGAGGCAGAAATATAGCAGGGGCCTGGGCTTCATTTTCTCATTCTTCTTTTGCTCTCAGCAGCAAAAAAAGAAGCGAGATACCCGAAAAGGCAGGCGGAAGAAGGATGTGGATGATGATGGGGAGGAGAAAGAGCTCATGGAGCGTCTTAAGAAGCTCTCAGTGCCAGCCAGTGATGAGGAGGATGAGGGTAAATGACCTGAGGGGGAATGGGTACCTGGAATCCATGAGTCATGGAGAGTGATGCCTCATACCTTGATCTTCAAGTTGGATTAAACTGGGGGGCCAGACATTGTAATTGTTTCCTATTTCATGTTCTCCCCTTGTCATTTCAGTACCTGCCCCAAAACCCCGCGGAGGGAAGAAAACCAAGGTAAGCCATCTGTGTGGTAAACAGACCCCAAGGATGCAATCTTGACCATCCTACTGACTTCTGTGGCCCTTTCATTCTCTAGGGTGGTAATGTTTTTGCAGCCCTGATTCAGGATCAGAGTGAGGAAGAGGATGAGGAAGAAAAACATCCTCCTAAGCCTGCCAAGCCAGAGAAGAATCGGATCAATAAGGTGACAGTGGTGGCTCGATCAGTCACTCTCACTCCATTTAGCACCTTCTGGCCATGGTGGAGTAATTTCCTGCTTTTAAACTAGCTCTCCTCGATCTGTCTTACTTATACTGTTAAAATCATCTTTTTAAAATACATGCCCAGGCCAGGCACAGTGGGTCACATCTGTAATCCCAGCACTTTGGGAGGCCGAGGCGGGCAAATCACGAGGTCAAGAGATCGAAACCAGCCTGACCAACATGGTGAAACCTCATCTCTATTAAAAATACAAAAATTAGCCAGTCATGGTGGTGTGCACCTGTAATCCCAGCTACTTGGAAGGCTGAGGCAGGAGAATCACTTGAACTTGGAAGGTGGAATTTGCAGTGAGCCAAGATTGAGGCACTGCACTCCAGCCTGGGCAACAGAGCAAGACTCCATCTCAAAAAAAAAAAAAAGCCCTTTTTATCACTCAGACATCTTCAGTGATTCTGTTGCTTTAAGCACAGAACCTGAAACAAAGCCCCAGGTCCTTGCTCTTCTACTTGTGACTCTTCTGCGTGTGCATCTTAGTCCATGTCCATTTGCCCTCTCAAGAAAGCCTCTAGTGCTAGTGCCACCCACTCCGGTTGCGCACTCGCCTGACTTATAATCCTTAACCTTGCTGATGTTCCCTAGTTGTCTCTTCACTATCTAGTCTCAAGCTGGAGGGTAGGGTTTTTCTGGGTCTCATTTTTCGTCAGCAGCACTCAGTACAGATGGTCTCCAACTTAGGCATACGGTTTTTCTACTTTATGATAGTGTGAAGGTCATGCTCATTTAGGATACTCCTCAACTCATGATGGGGTTATGTCCAGATAAACCTATAGTAAGTTGAAACTATCATTTTTGATTTATGATACTTTCAGTTTCTGGTGGGTTTATCGGGACAGGATGCAACCTGATCATAAATGGAGGAGCATCTGTATGGGTAACACAGTAGACTCTCTAGAAATGCTTATTACACAGCAAAGTAGCACAATAATTTGTACGTATGTGTTTAATGTGTATGTGTGTCTCCTCCAGGCCGTATCTGAGGAACAGCAGCCTGTGCTCAAGGGCAAAAAGGGAAAGGAAGAGAAGTCAAAAGGGAAGGCTAAGGTGAGAGAGTAACTAGCAGGAGGAGGTATTGGGGCCCAGGAATTAAAGCATTTCATCACACCTGTCTTTTCCCTATTAGCCTCAAAATAAATTCGCTGCTCTGGACAATGAAGAGGAGGATGAAGAAGAAGAAATAATAAAGGAAAAGGAGCCTCCCAAACAAGGGAAGGAGAAGGCCAGGAAGGCAGAGCAGGTGTGTGTATTTGGTGTTGGGGGAAGGTAGAATGAGGGACTAGGGCTCCAGGGTTCTTATGGGAGAGTCACGATCTGAGGATATAGTTACTATCCCAGCAAACCTTTTTTCTTTTCTTTTTTTAGGGGGAATGGTGGGGTGGTTGTTGTTTTGTTTTTGTTTTTATTTACACAGGATCTTACTCTGTCACCCAGTCTGGAGTGCAGGGGTGTGAACACAGCTCACTGAAGCCTCAACCTCCTGGGCTCAACAGATTCTCCTGCCTCAGCCTCCTGAGTAGCTGGAACTAGAAGTGTGCACCACTACCGCTGGCTAATTTTTTAATTTTTAGTATAGAGACGAGATCTCACTACGTTGCCCAGGCTGGTCTTAAACTTCTGGGCTCAAGCAGTGCTCCTGCCTCAGCCTCCCAAAATGCTTACAGGTGTGAGCCAGTGTGCCCAGTTAGCAAACTTTTTCTATAAAGGGCCTTGTAGTAAATGTTTCTGGCTTTGCAGGCCACATATAATCTCTATTACATATTCTTTTTTTTTTTTTTTTACCAACTCTTTGAAAATACAAAAACTATTTTTATAAAGTTCAGGAGCTATGTAAAAGCAAGCGTGAGGTCAGCCTTGGCCCATGGGCTGTAGTTTGCAACACCTGATCCAGTGAAGAAAGGGCCTGGAATTTATCTCAGATGATCTGGGTCCTGGCTCTGCCTTCACTGGCTATGACCTTAAATACATCTTCCCATCCCTTTGGGTCTCCCTTGTCTCCTTTGTGTGATAGAAGGAGGAATCTGGAGATCTCTAGGGTCCCCATGCCTCCGGCACTTCCTAGTTCTGTGATTCTGCTTGATTCCTCTGACTGTACACTAGAGATTCCTGATATTTTCTTTCTTTTTTTTTTTTTTTTTTTTTTTTTTTTTGAGATGGAGTCTCACTCCTTTGCCCAGGCCGGAGTGCAGTGGCGTAATCTCGGCTTACTGCAACCTTTGCCTCCTGGGTTCAAGCATTTCTGCCTCAGCCGCCTAAGTAGTTGGGACTACAGGCACGTGCCATCATGACCGTCTAATTTTTTGTGTTTTTAGTAGAGACAGGATTTCACCATGTTAGCCAGGATGGTCTCAATCTCCTGACCTTGTGATCTGCTCGTCTTGGCCTCCCAGAGTGCTGGGATTACAGACATGAGCCACTGCACCCAGCAGGCTACCTGATCTTTTCTTTGCATGTTAACAGGGAAATCACAGAAACTCATTTTATGCAAATGAAACTCTTGAAATCCATTTACTCCACCTTCAGTTACATTATATTGGGAATTACGTTTATAGGGACATATGCGTTATCACATTTCATACATATATATTCATACCATTTGTCTTGTACCATTCCTGGTAGCAGAAATTAGTAAAGGACTACAGGGAGACTAGGGGCTGGATATGAGAATGAGAGAGGATCCCAAGATATTTTAGGACTCTGAGTAGTGAAGGAAAGAGCTGACTGCGGAACTGGGGCAGGGACAGGGTGCGGATGACATGAAATCTGAGTTCTAGAAGGAGTCCCTGGGTTTTTTTGTTTGTTCGTTTGTTTGTTTTTGATATGGAGTCTCGCTCTGTCACCCAGGCTGGAGTGCAGTGGCACAATCTCGACTCACTGCAAGCTCCACCTCCCAGGTTCACACCATTCTCCTGCCTCAGCCTCCCAAGTAGCTGGGACTACAAGTGCCCACCACCATGTCCAGCTAATTTTTTGCAATTTTTAGTACAGATGGGGTTTCACTGTGTTAGCCAGGATGGTCTTAGATCTCCTGACCTCAGGATCTGCCCGCCTTGGCCTCCCAAAGTGCTGGGATTACGGGCGTGAGCCACCGCACCCAGCCGGGGTCCCTACTTTTGACCATCCCTGGGTTCTCACAGGGTTCAGAGGAAGAAGGAGAAGGGGAAGAAGAGGAGGAGGAAGGAGGAGAGTCTAAGGCAGATGATCCCTATGCTCACCTTAGCAAAAAGGAGAAGAAAAAGCTGAAAAAACAGGTAAGACCTTGGTTCTTAGCGGTCAAAAGTAGGGGGTTTTTAAATACTTCAACTAGGGGACATGTGATTGGGAATAGGAAGGACAGCTTTGGGGGCTACTTCAGGTAAAACAATCGGAGTCGGAAAATAATTGTGTTCTGTGAGCCTTATCTCAATGTCTGATGACATGGGGTGTTTCACTTTGGGGTTTTTTGTTTGTTTTTTGAGACAGGGTCTCACACTGTTCCTCAGGCTGGAGTGCAGTAACGTGATCTCTGCTCACTGCAGCCTCAACCTCCTAGGCCCAAGTGATCCCCCCACCTCAGCCTCCCAAATAGATGAGACTATGGGTGGCACCACCATGCCCGGCTAAATTTTGTATTTTTTGTAGAGACGGGATTTTGCCATGTTGCCCAGGCTGGTCTCAGACTCCTGAGCTCGAGAGATCCACTTTCCTCAGCCTCCGAGAGTGCTGGGTTTACAGCCATGAGCCAGCATGCCCAGCCAGCATGGGCTGTTTCATGGTGATGGGAAACTGATAGACCGTGGCTTCAAATGTAGTTTTTCCTTCCTTCTCAGATGGAGTATGAGCGCCAAGTGGCTTCATTAAAAGCAGCCAATGCAGCTGAAAATGACTTCTCCGTGTCCCAGGCAGAGATGTCCTCCCGCCAAGCCATGTTAGAAAATGCATCTGACATCAAGGTAAGGTCTCAGGGGGCCCCTTCCAGTCCACTTGCCTAGGGAAGAGCCAGTTCTCTCATCTTCCCTGAGTGGCCATGGTGTGTGAATGGGTTAGTTTAGTGGGAAGAAAGATTGGAGGCATTTTCCACACCTTGGGTTCTGCCAACTTGAGCAAGAAGATAGAAAAACCAGTAGAAGTAGGGTCCACCCTCGGCAGAAAATAGTGTGGGACAGACTACACTAGCTGAGGACGCATGGGACTCTCATTACAGGTAGTGGACAGGGCAGGGACCGGCTGTGGGGAGAGGAAGGGGATTATGCTAGAGGTATCAGTTTGTCAGAGGCTTCCCTGCAGGGAAAAAGTGACCACTCCTGTCCCAAAGAGAGAATTTTCATGTGATCATCCCTTCTCTCTGCCACCTCTTTCCTGATGGCTGCAGCTGGAGAAGTTCAGCATCTCCGCTCATGGCAAGGAGCTGTTCGTCAATGCAGACCTGTACATTGTAGCCGGCCGCCGCTACGGGCTGGTGGGGCCCAATGGGTGAGAAGAGGAGGGAGCTGGAGGCCAAAAAGGGGAGGAGCCTGGAGGGATAAGAAGAGATTTCTCAGTGGTGGCCGGGTCCTAATAGCTTTTATTCCCCAGCAAGGGCAAGACCACGCTCCTCAAGCACATTGCCAACCGAGCCCTGAGCATCCCTCCCAACATTGATGTGTTGCTGTGTGAGCAAGGTGAGGCCAGTGGGGAGAAAAGGGGCTTGGTGGGGTGGGCAGTTGGGTAGAAAAGCCAGCCAAGAATAGAAGAAATTGTGGCCATGGAGTTGGAAGGGATGTGGAGGGAGACTGGGGACTGGGAAAGGGATGCTAATGAAAGGAGGGGAGAGTTAATGAGGAACTTGTTTTATTTGGAATGAGTACAAAAAGCTGGGCAGGGTCAGGCAAAACAGAAATGCAGTTGAAGAGAAAGAAGGATGAGACTCTTGGCTCTTGAGGCTGCCTGACTGTTCTCCCTCTGCCTCCCAGAGGTGGTAGCAGATGAGACACCAGCAGTCCAGGCTGTTCTTCGAGCTGACACCAAGCGATTAAAGCTGCTGGAAGAGGAGCGGCGGCTTCAGGGACAGCTGGAACAAGGAGATGACACAGCTGCTGAGAGGCTAGAGAAGGTAGAGGAGATGGCGCAGGGGACACGGGCTAAGACTCGGGGGTTCCTGGGACCCTCAGACATGTGTCCTCTTCTCCCTCCTCCCAGGTGTATGAGGAATTGCGGGCCACTGGGGCAGCAGCTGCAGAGGCCAAAGCACGGCGAATCCTGGCTGGCCTCGGCTTTGACCCTGAAATGCAGAATCGACCCACACAGAAGTTCTCAGGGGGCTGGCGCATGCGTGTCTCCCTGGCCAGGTGGGCCATTCACCTCACTGCCCTCCCTTCCAACCTCAGACCACCAGGGCCCTTTCCCTCTATCCCTTCTCATTCTTCCAAGGCAATAGGGAGGCTCAAGGCTTACCTCTCCCTCCTTACTATCTATGTTGTGAGAGCTTAGGGTCTTTCTCTGTTTCTCTCTACCTGGTGGTGAGTTCTCATCAACATACCCTGCAGCTGGGCGCAATGGGTCACGCTTGTAATCCCAGCACTTTGGAAGGCAGAGGCAGGAGGATTATCTTGAATCCAGGAGTTTGAGACCAGCCTGGGCAATATAGCGAGACCGTATCTTCACAGAAAGGGAAAAAAAGCATATCCTAGCCTGGGCAACATAGGGAGACACTGTCTCTACAAAAAATTTGAAAATTAGCTGGACTTGGTGGTGCACGCTTGTGGTCACAGCTACTCTGGAGGCTGAAGTAGAAGTATCACTTGGACCTGGGAGATTGAGGCTACAGTGAACCCTGACTGTGCCATTGCATGACAACCTGGGCAACAGGGCAAGGCCCTGTCTCAGAAAAACTTAAACCATATCCTGCCCAAGAACTTGTCTGAGGAGAGCTTGGGAAGGAGTGTTCATGGTCTCAGGCTCTATCTCCCTGAATTTTCTCTGGGGTTGTCTGAGCAAGGATCTTTCTCTCCCTGACCCTGCCCTCTGCTACCCACCCTCTAGGGCACTGTTCATGGAGCCCACACTGCTGATGCTGGATGAGCCCACCAACCACCTGGACCTCAATGCTGTCATCTGGCTCAATAAGTGCGTTACGGCCTTTGCATCATTGGTTCCCATTCTGCACTTTCTTCCCCTTCCTGCCCTGTTTTCCTTTAGCCGTTCTCCACTGTGCCTGTGACAGCTCTATCCAGACCCCCCCTTTCCCTCCCAGCCCCCATTGTCTGGCTGCTTCCCCTGACTTCTCTCTCACTTGACCGCTGTGACACTTAACACCCTGTTCTCTGAAACCCAGCTACCTCCAGGGCTGGCGGAAGACCTTGCTGATTGTCTCCCATGACCAGGGTTTCTTGGATGATGTCTGCACTGATATCATCCACCTCGATGCCCAGCGGCTCCACTACTATAGGGGCAATTACAGTAAGTAGGATTGTGTGTGGATGCAGGGAAGAGACAGAACCTTGAAAAGAGGTCTGAATGGGAGGGCCTATTTAGATAAACTGAATCCTGTCAGAATTCCAGACAGTGATGCCTACCCCGTCACCACCAACCCCTGGTTGTCCCTTTGCTGGGGAGAGGAGCAACCACTGATGCCCAGTCCCATCTTCTGCCCCAGTGACCTTCAAAAAGATGTACCAGCAGAAGCAGAAAGAACTGCTGAAGCAGTATGAGAAGCAAGAGAAAAAGCTGAAGGAGCTGAAGGCAGGCGGGAAGTCCACCAAGCAGGCGGTAAACACCTGAGGGACTTCTGGGCTGGGGACCACTGTTCTCTCCTGACAGTGGAGGAAGAAGGAGACTCTGGAACGCTGGCCTACATTTCGAGGACTGCTGTGCAGGACACAGATTTCTCTTTTTTCCTCTTCCTGTCCAGGAAAAACAAACGAAGGAAGCCCTGACTCGGAAGCAGCAGAAATGCCGACGGAAAAACCAGGATGAGGAATCCCAGGAGGCCCCTGAGCTCCTGAAGCGCCCTAAGGAGTACACTGTGCGCTTCACTTTTCCGGACCCCCCACCACTCAGCCCTCCTGTGCTGGGTCTGCATGGTGAGTGCTGCGGGCCTCTCCTGCTCCACAGGAAGCGCCAGAAGCATGTATGTGCACCCCAAATTCTCCACCAAGGTTGAGATTGCTCCTGTTCTCCAAGGCCAGCACATCAGAGGAACTTTACAGGGACTGAAAATAATATAAATTGCTGCTTTTCCTGGCTTTCAGGTGTGACATTCGGCTACGAGGGCCAGAAACCACTCTTTAAAAACCTGGATTTTGGCATCGACATGGATTCAAGGAGTGAGTTGGCGGGGTTGGCTCAGGGATGTGTGGCAGGAGCCACAGGGAGAGTCTCTGGGGACCTCTTTGACCACCTGTCTTCCATCTTGCAGTTTGCATTGTGGGCCCTAATGGTGTGGGGAAGAGTACGCTACTCCTGCTGCTGACTGGCAAGCTGACACCGGTGAGTCCTGAAGCCAAGAAGGGAGAGCATGAGAAATGTGAAGACACAGCTGCTTGCCAGAAGCTGGAATCAGGGAGCTTCTCGAGAATGTAGAGTTAAATACAGAACTCATCATAGATGATTCATTTCCCTAAGAGGAGCAGTAGAGGAGGAGAAGAGCTTAGATCAGTTCAGGGAGGAGAGCTAAGAGAATTGGGATTGAACTAGGGGGCACACCCACGTGTTTTGGTTATACAAGAAATATATGTCTTTTATAGAACAATTAAAAATTTCATAAACGGGCTGGGCACAGTGGCTCACGCCTGTAATCCCAGCAGGGATCACTTGAGGTCAAGAGTTCCAGACCAGCCTGGCCAACGTGGTGAACCCCGTCTCTACTAAAAATACAAAAATTAGGCGGGTGTGATGGCATGCACCTACATCCCAGCTACTCAGGAGGCTGAGGCAGAATTGCTGGAACCTGGGAGGCGGAGGTTGCAGTGAGCTGAGATTGCACCATTGCACTGTAGTCTGGACAACAGAGCGAGACTCCATCTCCAAAAAAAAAATGGCCTGGTGTGGTGGCTCACGCCTGTAATCCCAACTCTTCAGGGGAGGCTGAGGCAGGCGGATCACTTGAGCTCAGGAGTTAAAAACCAGCCCAAGCCTGATGTGGTGGCTCACATCTATAATCCCAACGCTTTGGGAATCCGAGGCGGGTGGATCACCTGAGGTGGGGAGTTCGAGACCAATATGGAGAAACCCCATCTCTACTGAAAATACAGAATTAGCCAGGTGTGGTTGCGCATGCCTGTAATCCCAGTTATTTGGGAGGCTGAGGCAGGAGAATCACTTGAACCCAGGAGGCGGAGGTTGCAGTGCACCAAGATTAGCCAGGATGGTCTCGATATCCTGACCTCATGATCTGCCTGCTTCGGCCTCCCAAAGTGCTGGGATTACAGGCGTGAGCCACTGCGCCTGGCCAAGTCTACCATTTTATTTGAACTTTTGTAATATATTGCCATCTAGTGTGTTAGAAAGTTTGTAACCATTTCTGCTCCCTCCAGCAAAATGTTGAGAGGCCATTTTCTCACATCCAGAGATTAGATCTTTAGAAAGGTATTAGATCCTCCCCAAAACACTAAACTTGTCACCTGAGGCCCTTACGATGTACCATTCGTGAGTCTCGCTGTATGGAGAGCAGGTGTTCTTTGGCTGTGGTTAGTCCTTCCTGCTTGTTCCTGTCGTCCTCCCTCTATTTTGCTTAACTCCCCTTTTGCCCCTTACTCTTTTACTTTGCTCACCATGCCTTTGTCATATTAGGGGAACATCCCTGTCCCTTTTCTTTTTTTCTTTTTTGAGACGGAGTCTTGTCCTGTCCTCGAGACTGGAGTGCAGTGGTGCAATCTCAGCAACTTCAACCTCCTGGGTTAAAACGATTCTTGTGCCTCAACCTCCTGAGTAGCTGGGATTACAGGCTTGTCCCACTGTGCCCAGCTAATTATTGTATTTTCAGTAGAGACAGAGTTGGCCAGCCTGGTCTCGAACTCCTGACCTCAAGTGCCTCCTGACCTGCCCTCGGCCTCCCGAAGTGCTGGGATTACAGGCATGAGCCACCGCACCCAGCCCTTATTCCTTTTCTTATACATACTTGTCCCTGGCCCATTTCTGGTGTTTGTCTTCCCTTCAGAAAAGTTGGTGTATGGTTGAGGTCAGGACATTGAGACCATCCTGGCTAACACGGTGAAACCCCGTCTCCACTAAAAAAAACAAAAAATTAGCCAGGCATGGTGGCAGGCGCCTGTAGTCCCACCTACTCGGGAGGCTGAGGCAAGAGAATGGTGGGAACCCAGGAGGCGGAGGTTGCAGTGAGCCGAGATTGCGCCACTGCACTCCAGCCTGGGTGACAGAGCTAGATTCCGTCTCAAAAAAAAAAAGTTGGTATGTGGAGCTGCAGTGCCTTTTCCCCTTACCCTCCTCTTAACTACTTTCTCTTCCCTTGCAGACCCATGGGGAAATGAGAAAGAACCACCGGCTGGTAAGTTGGTATTGGGATTTAAGGAATGGTAATCTGATGGAGGAAGTGTGACTTTAACTGACCACCTCCCTCTCTTCTCGGGCAGAAAATTGGCTTCTTCAACCAGCAGTATGCAGAGCAGCTGCGCATGGAGGAGACGCCCACTGAGTACCTGCAGCGGGGCTTCAACCTGCCCTACCAGGATGCCCGCAAGTGCCTGGGCCGCTTCGGCCTGGAGAGTCACGCCCACACCATCCAGATCTGCAAACTGTCTGGTACCACTGCAGGGGCCGGGGAGGGCACCCTTCACCGTATCATTCATGTCTACAGACTACCTAGAGGAACCGGGAATGAGGGAGCCTCAGTTCACAAACTGGCTTATCTTGAGGGTTTGCCTTCAGACTGTGAGGTGCTAGAAGGTGTGACAGCCCTCCCCTTCCTTTGCTACAGGTGGTCAGAAAGCGCGAGTTGTGTTTGCCGAGCTGGCCTGTCGGGAGCCTGATGTCCTCATCTTGGTGAGTGAGCTGGACTGTAGGAGAAGGGATAAGGGTAACAGTATGGAAGATGGGAGTTGCAGTGCTCAGTCATGGAATTCCTCCTCTGTAGGATGAGCCAACCAATAACCTGGACATAGAGTCTATTGATGCTCTAGGGGAGGCCATCAATGAATACAAGGGTGGTAAGTCAGCTGAGAGTATGCCCTCCTCCCTGCTCCATGGGGACCAAGCTGTAGTGTCCTTCACTGCAGCAGGGCCTAGGACTCCCTTATTTCATGTTCTGATTTCCCTCTTCCTCCTTTCTTCCTGCCCTCTGTTCTTACTATCTTTCTTCAAAGCTGTGATCGTTGTGAGCCATGATGCCCGACTCATCACAGAAACCAACTGCCAGCTGTGGGTGGTGGAGGAGCAGAGTGTTAGCCAAATCGATGGTGACTTCGAAGACTACAAGCGGGAGGTGTTGGAGGCCCTGGGTGAAGTCATGGTCAGCCGGCCCCGAGAGTGAGCTTTCCTTCCCAGAAGTCTCCCGAGAGACATACTTGTGTGGCCTAGAAGTCCCCTGTGGTCTCCCCTTCTCATCTGAAGACTGCCTCTGGCCTGTAGCTGACCTGGCAACCACTCAGGCACCGGAAAGTGGAGTGTGACCTTGATCCCACTCTGACTGCATCCATTTCTCTGAAAGACTTGTTTGTTCTGCTTTTCTTCATATAACTGAGCTGGCCTTATCCTTGGCATCCCCCTAAACAAACAAGAGGTGACCACCTTATTGTGAGGTTCCATCCAGCCAAGTTTATGTGGCCTATTGTCTCAAGACTGTCATCACTCAGAAGCCTGCCTCTGGTTTACCCTACAGCTTCAGGCCCAGCTGCCCCCTGGTCTTTGGGTGGTGCTGTTCTTTTCTGGTGGATTTAATGCTGAGTCACTGGTACAAACAGCTGTTGAAGCTCAGAGCTGGAGGTGAGCTTCTGAGGCCTTTGCCATTATCCAACCCAAGATTTGGTGCCTGCAGCCTCTTGTCTGGTTGAGGACTTGGGGCAGGAAAGGAATGCTGCTGAACTTGAATTTCCCTTTACAAGGGGAAGAAATAAAGGAAAGGAGTTGCTGCCGACCTGTCACTGTTTGGAGATTGATGGGAGTGTTGGAACTGTTCTCGGTCTTGATTTGCTTTATTCAGTTTTCTAGCAGCTTTTAATAATCCCCTCATCCCCACTAAATGGATCTTGTTTGCAGTCTTGCTGACGGTGTTTGCTGTTTGAGGATCATGGGATTCCTTTCCCCCAACCCTTCACGTGAGGAAAAAGCAAAGTGATTCATACCTTCCGTCTTCGAACTTGGGTCTCTCTTTTTTTTTTTTTTTTTTTTTTTTTTGGACAGAATCTTGTCCTTTCACTAAGGCTGGAGTGCAGTGGCACGATCTTGGCTCACTGCAGCCTCCACTTCCCAGGTTCAAGCAATTTTCCTGCCTCAGCCTCCTGAGTAGCTGGGATTATAGGCACACACTACCAGGCCCAGCTAATTTTTGTGTTTTATTAAAAACACAAAAGAGACAGGGTTTTACCATGTAGGTCAGGCTGGTCTCGAACTCCTGACCTCAAGTAATTCACCTGTCTTGACCTCCCAAAGTGCTGGGATCATAGGGGTGAGCCACTGCGCCCAACTTTTTTTTTTTTTGAGACAGGGTCTTGCTCTGTTGCCCAGGCTAGAGTGCACTGTACCCTCAACCTCCTGGGCTCAAGCAATCCTTCCACCTCAGCCTCCTGAGTAGCTGGGACTGCAGGCATGTGCCACCACACTCAACTAATTTTTTAAAAAAATTTTTAGTAGAGACAGTGTCTTGCTATGTTTCTTAAGGCTGGTCCTGAACTCCTGACCTCAAGCAGTCTTCCTGCCTCGACCTCCCAAAGTGCTGGGATTATAGGCATGAGCCACCACGTCTAACCAGAATTCGGGTCTCATTGTCCAAGCTAATCTCTTGAATGAGGAAGTGCTCTGCCCTGTGGTCAGGGACCAGGGTATTGATCCTCTCAAAAATTATTAAATCGGCTGGGCGCGGTGGCTCACGCCTGTAATCCCAACACTTTGGGAGGCCAAGGCAGGCGGATCACGAGGTCAGGAGTTCAAGACCAGCCTGGGCAACATAGTGAAACCCCGTCTCTACTGAAAATACAAAAATTAGCTGGGAGTGGTGGCAGGTGCCTGTAATCCCAGCTACTCGGGAGCCTGAGGCAGAGAATCACTTGAACCCAGGAGACCTCCGGAGGTTGCAGTGAGCCGAGATTGCACCACTGCATTCCAGCCTGGGCGCAGAGCGAGACTCCATCTCAAAAAAAAAAATTAAATCGTCCAGCCAACATGTACAGTACTGTGCAACATATAAGAAGGGAAGGGACAAGATCTGCCTTCATTAATAGTCTGGTTAGAGAAGACTTAAAAGTAAGCATGAATAGGTAATATAATTTGATCAATTGTCTAACATGTAGTACTCTAGATTCTAAGTTGCCACATACTCAAAAGGAAACATTATCCACGGCTTGATTATTTGACAGTGTCACTTGAGGATAGACCTTGAAAAATAATGATTTGAATAATCAGGAAACAGGGAGCCATTTTTCAGAAGCAGGAAAAGAGCAGAGCTAAGGCTTGGGAGGAAGAACAAGCTAACCTGGGAGTTCATGGATGATAGCTGCTGTGGCCATTTTTCTTAAGAGTTAGACTGGGGAGATGGGTTTGGAAAGTAAAATACAGATGGTGGGTAGTGGTATTAGGTGGTGATAGGCAAGGCGTGCTATAGAAACCTGTACGGTGAAGCCCATAACTTTTGTTACGGGAATGGGGTAACTGAATCCTGCACTAGCTAGGGGAGATAGGGAGGGAAAGAAAAGGGCAGATGGAAAGAACAGATGTGGAGGTTGGGGAGAAGGGAGTGATAGGAGATGTATCCAGTTCCAGAGGGAATATGGAGAGCTGTGTGGCTAAGATTTAACTGTTTGGACATTTAATTTGGGGAAATTGTTTTCCAGCCAAGTGAATAAATAATACTGGACCTCAGGTACAAGCTTCATACAACAAGTGAAGGTTTGGTGTGGAGACAGCTGCATAGTCAGGGAACATTCTAAATTAGAAATAAGGAGGCCGGGCGTGGTGGCTGATGCCTGTAATCCCAGCACTTTGGGAGGTCAAGGCAGGTGGATCACAAGGTCAGGAGTTCGAGAACACCCTGACCAACGTGTTGAAACCTCATCTCCACTAAAAATACAAAAAAATTAACCGAGTGTGGTGGTGCACACCTGTAGTCCTAGCTACTCAGGAGGCTGAGGCAGGAGAATCGCTTGAACCTGGGAGGCAGAGGTTGCAGTGAGCCGAGATCGCACCACTGCACTCCAGCCTAGGCAACAGAGCAAGACTCTGTCTCAAACAAAACAAAAAAAAAGACATGAGGAAACATGCCTCTTACGGAATTCGAGGGGGAGAAGTCAGGGTCTTGGCCGTGACCTTGGACAAGCCATTAGCCTCTTGATACCTCTTTTCTCATCTGTAAAATGAAGGTGGTAGTACCTACTTCACAGGGTTATTAGGGGATTCGATGTGTAATAATATGTAAAGTGCTTTAAACTCTATTGCTTTTGTTATATGCATTTCATAATTTTTTCTCTTTTTTTTTTGAGATGGGGTCTTACTCTGTTGTCAGGCTGGAGTGCTGTGGAGTGATCTTGGCTCACTGCAACCTCTGCCTCCCAGGTTCAAGTGATTCTCCTGTGTCAGCCTCCCGAGTAGCTGGGATTACAGGCATGAACCACCACGTCCGGCTAAGTTTTGTACTTTTAGTAGAGATCGAGTTTTGCCATGTTGGCCAGTCTGGTCTCAAACTCCTCACCTCAGGTGGTCTGCCCACTTCAGCCTCCCAAAGTGCTGGGATTACAGGCATGAGCCACCACACCTGGCCTGCACTTTTGAATTTTTAAGTTTTTAGTTCGCTAATCTAGATGAGATGATACATAAAATATATAGGAATGTTATTTATAAAGTGAATACCAGCTTGTAGTTCAAGTATTTGATCACTAATTTCACTACTTCAAACATAGTGAAAAAATACTCCAAAATAACTTCCCCTCACAGGCATAAATTTCATCTCTCTGTCTCTCTTTCTCTCTCTCTTTTTTTTTTTGGTAAAGATGAGGTCTTGCTATATTGCCCAGGCTGGTCTCAAACTCCTGACCTCAAGCAGTCCTCTCTCCTAGGGCCCCAAAAGTGCTGGGATTACAGGAATGAGCCATGGCACCTGGCCACAAATTTTATCTCCTCCAGTGTATATGTTTTAACTTCTGTGATCCCTCTAGCCAATCATACATGCTGTTAATAGAATTAATAATTCACCTAAATGTGGGCAGAAGTATGCCCTCCAAAAAGCAGCATAGAAATGGAACACGAAAGGGAAACACTTCCATGGTAGCGCATGGAAATTTCATTAACCACATTAAATCGTTTTATTTATAAACAACTTATTACCTACAAGTGATGCACATACGTGGTACACATAGTAAACCTTGTAGAAATGTGTTTTTTGTTTTGAGTCGTCTCCCTCTGTTTCCCAGGCTGGAGTGCAGAGGCTCCAGTGGCTCACTGCAGCCTCAATCCTCTGGGCTCAAGTGATCCTCCTACCTCACCTTCTCAAATAGCGGGGACTACAAGCATTCACCAACATGCCCAGCTCATTTTTAAATTTTTTTGTAGCAAAGAGGTCTTGCTTTGTTACCCGGGCTGGGCTCAGACTCCTGGGCTCAACTTCTCCTCCCACCTCAGCCTCATTAAAGCCAAAGCCTGAAGGTAGGAAAGGAGAGCCTTCAGGGAAGGGACCAAAATGTGCAAAGACCCTGAGGCTGCGAAGAGCTGGACATGGTCAAGGAATGGCTGGAGCTGAGAACTTGAGCATGCGCCAATACACATGGGGCCTTATATGCCTTGACCAGCGGGTTGGGATGTGATCAGGAGAGGCTGAGCAATGGGAGGCCATTGCTTCTGTTTAGCCAGGAGTGCAAACTGATCCAGTTTTCATTTTTACAAAATTGCTCTGGCTACTAGATGGTAAATAGTGAGTGTGGGGAGACAGGGAAAAGAGATGCCAGGAGAACAGCTCAATATTACTTTGGAAAGAAGATTCTCTTCATCTAAGAATGGAAGGGAGATAATGTAGACTCAGGTATTTCCATGGGAAGAGAAGGGGAAATGTTGCTCCCAGTGGATGGGACTCACTCTTTTCCAAGCTTTGGTGCCAGAGAATCAAGAAGAGTAGGCCAGGCACGGTGCCTCATGCCTGTCATCCCAGCACTTTGGGAGACCGAGGCAGGCGGATCACTTGGCAAAACACCGTCTCTACTAAAAATGCAAAAATTAGCCAGCCGTGGTGGCACACAGCTGTAATCCCAGCTACTCAGGAAGCTGAGGCAGGAGAATCACTTGAACCGGGGAGGTGGACGTTACAGTGAGTGGAGATTGCACCGTTGGACTCCAGCCTGGGCAACAAGAGCAAAACTTCGTCTCAAAAAAACCAAAACAAAACAAACAAACAAAAAATGCCAAGCAGCAGTAAGTGTAGAATCAATGCTAATATTAATTTGTACTGGGCTAAGATAGTAGGATTTTGTGATTTTTCAACATGAGGTCTACTGCCCAGGAGTAGGAATGAAAGAAATGAGATAATGATTCTGAATTGAAGATAGACCCGTTGCCCCTGGGGAAGGACTGACAGGACGAGAACATTGAACGTCGCAAGGGTATTTTAGAGGGAAAAAATGGAAGCAGAAAGGAAAAGCAGACTGAGACGGGAGAGAGAAAAGTGCCTACAGGGCTTGGTGAAGAAACATCATTGTAGTGAAATGCATGAAATGTTCAACCTCTCTCCCCCTGCAAAAAAACAAGGAAAATCTTCCCTATATAATCTAAAGGTTTTACGTAAGTAAAAAGGAACAGGTAGGCCGGGTGCCGTGGCTCACACCTGTAATCCCAGCACTTTGGGAGGCCGAGGCGGGTGGATTGCCTGAGGTCAGGAGTTCGAGACCAGCCTGGACAACATGGTGAAACCCCTTCTCTGCTAAAAATACAAAAATTAGCCAGGCATGGTGACAAGCGCCTACAATCCCATCTACTCAGGAGGCTGAGGCAGGAGAATCGCTTGAAGCCAGGGGGCAGAGGTTGCAGTGAGCCAAGATCATGCCATTTCACTCTAGCCTGG